CACATCTGTAGGCTCACTTGAGCAGACAAACATACCAGCCAAAGTTCAAAAATAATTTTGCAGGTGCGGGGTTACACAGAAGAGCCCCGGGGCACTGTATCACTCCACCCCCACCGGCCTCAGACACCACTCAATAACCAGTTCTGTGTTCACGGCCATTTGTGGAAACCGGTCATCAGTAGGCTGAACACTCCCTCGATGACCAGAAGTGACCGGCCATCAAAGAAAATGCATACTTTCCTTTCATGACCGTCTCTGATTGGCCATGAATGAGGGTGTACACTCCCCTTGATGACCAGTCAGAGCCGGTCATCAATAGCGATACCCTCTTGATGACCGGCTCCATTGGCCATCCATGAGTGTACACTCCCACCAAGGACCAGACAGAGCCTCTGACCGGTCATCAAGAGATATCCTCTTGATGACCGGCTCTGATGGGTCATCCATCCAAGTGTACACTCCCATTGACAATCAGACAGAGCCGGTCATCAGTAACATGGCCGTACTGATGAAAATGGCCGGCTCTGGCCGGTCATTGATGATAGTACACTCTCATCAATGACCAATCAGAGCTGGTCAACAATAGCAGAATCCTATTGATGACTGGCTCTGTCCAGTCAGCAATGGCAGTGTGTACTCTCATGGATGGCCGGTCAGAGCGGGTCACTAAGGGAAGTGCCCACCATGACCGTTCAGCCTGCTGATGACCGGTTTGGAGAGAGACAACACTCATCCATGACCGGTCAGAACCATTCAGGTCAAAGCGGCCCATGATCTTATGCCTCTACAATCCAACATCGTAGTACATATTTATGTATGTCTAGCTTAACAAATCCCCTCGACAGAGGGCCGGAGGGCGAGCCTCTGAATTCGGAGACTCGCTTTCCGAGCAGGCCCTCCAATCGAGGGTCTTGGGTTAAGGTAGGTAGTACATATGTATGCACCAGCGTTTTGTTATACACCGGTGTTGTGTGTAGTGGAAGAAGCCGAAGGAAGATTGTACCGTTCAAGATACTAATCTGTAGATCTGTATTTCAAAAAAAAAATAAAAAAAATAAAACTATGGTTTGGTGGGTGTCCTGTGTCCCTCTGGGGCTTCCATGGTACATCTCCTCTCAGTGTGACGCGGCAGGGAGATGATGATGTTGGGTGATGGTGGTTGTGTGACGTAGTATGTAGTGATATAACCAGCTAGAAGTCCTAAAGTAGAGTGAAGTGGAATGCGAATCAAATGTTGTGTAGGTTTTTTTTGGGTGGGATGGCGCGATTGGCGCGATTTCAGGTTGGCGCGATTTGTGACCCCTGTGGGCTTCCGTAGTATTTGGACATGGACAACTGTACGTAGGTATGTCACGGGTAACTTCTTGTGAGAGCTTAGGTATTGGTCTTTTGTGTGAAGAAGACAAATCGACGACAGTGAATGTTGTAAATAAAAATTTAGTCAAGAAACATGTGTCAAAAAAATGATTGAATATTTTTAAGTTTGTACTGTTTTCTATTGAAAGCTTTGTAATACAGCCAAACCGAGAAAGCTTGCGTCTCGGTTGGCAGAAGATTCAGAAAAAAATAAAAAAAATCCCGACTGCAGTCGGAATCTTCGGAAGAATACAGCCATCGTACAGGTTCCAACATACCTGCCGGTAGCGGCGACAGGACCGCACCGGACCCAACCAGCCAGCCCTGGGGGGGGCAGGGGCATGGGTGGCCTTCATGTCAATGGTCCGGTTTGACTAAACTTTCCCTCAGGATCCCGATGGTCTTACTCTCATGACCTGGAACTGAGGGAGAAAAAAGATAGGGATTTTACCCTGAAGTAACCCCTGTATGCGAATGGGCATGCAGGGTGCTGTATTCTTCCAAAAATTCCGACTGCAGTCGGGGTTTTTTTTTTTTTTTGAATCTTCCGCCAACCGAGACGCAAGCTTTCTCGGTTTGGCTGTATATTAGATGAAGTCTTGAACTGCAAAATAGGGGGTATCAAATATAACCAAATCCACCATTATTTAATTGACTGGTTTGAAAAAATCCACTCTCTTTCAAACATGTTGGTTATCCATTTAACCCCTTTTGGGGCCCATTTATGCAAAAAAAAGTTTTTGGAAAAGTGACTGGTTTCTGATGGTGGATTTCCTATATTTGATACCCCCTAATGAAACGTGGCGCCAGCCACGCTATTCCCTCGAACTTATCAAAAGCACGCGGTCTCTGCTGCGGCGTGGGGCACTGTAAGCCGCTCGTGAGTGTGCAAGCACTGAGTACTCTCCCGCAGGAGAGGGATTTATGCCCGAGGGGAGCATGATACCATGAGGTATCATCCATTTTTTGTGGGGGAGGTTCTCATTCCACATAGCGCCGCAAGTTTCAAACCTAGTTTCTTTGTCCTTATAAGCAATGAAGCTTATAAATTTTCGTGGGAATCCTGTCTACTCAAAATTTGGACCTCTTGTCCCCATCATGCCCGATTAAGCTTCCCAAACTTTGGGTATTGCAATTTTAATCTTGCCACTTATTGGCATAAACCTTTTTTTTCTTTTTGCTCTTTTTTTCATAACGCTCCTCTTTTTTTCAACCTTTTGGACCTCTGACATAACGATCGCTCATAACATCCTTCTTTTTTTCATTCTCCAGCCGTTATCGCATCATCCGGCCCGATTCCTCATACATCGAACCCTCCCGAAGACACACCTCCAAGCGATCCGGCCATTTGCTTCGCTTCATCCGGCATCGAACCCTCCTGAAGACTCACCTCAAAAACGATCGGCCGTTATTGCTCGCTTCATCCAAAGTCCGCTGATTAAGATTTGATGTCAAAAAAACGATACCGAGGACACCTGCGAGGTATTATGTCGCTTTGGTTTTCGGTTTTCTGTCATTCTTTCTCTTTGATACTGTTTTTGTTTTCTCTTTCGATCTCTTGCTGTTGACCAGTTTTTCATTTTCTTCTTTTTTTTTTTCTCTGTCGATCTCTCGCTCTTGACCTGTTTGTTGTCTGTCAATCTCTTGCTCTTGACCTGTCTTTCGTTTTGTGTTTTTCGTTTTCTTTTTTTTTTCTCTGTCGATCTTTTTTTCTTGACCTCTCTCCGTTATTCTCTCTGTCATCTCATCGGTTATATTACGTGTGATGATCGGAGTTTTGTATTTCAACGGTCAACTGACCAATCAATAAAGTAATTAGAAAAAAAAGAAAACAGTAAAGGTCCGATTAAAATACAATCGGACCCTTATTTCAAAAAAATGTACGGCTTAAACAAATTTTTTTGGTAAAAATCTGAACAGACAGAATCGTCGATAGGATGCTAAAGTATTGCTGGGAGAGAGTAGCGAGAATGGAAAAAATGACAAGGATTTTAAAATTGAAAAAAAAATAAAGCTACGGTTATTCTGGACTTAGCCTCATGCGGACTTGTGTCGGTCAGGCATAAGCCCCGCCTGCACCTCACGCCTACGGGTGCTCGCGGGCTTTGTTACACCTAGGGTGCACACCCACGTGGACCGACACCGGTTTTCCACGGGGAGCCCACGAGCGGCCACTGCGGGAGGTCGGACCAGGACCCGCCAGTCCACAGGATTCCGTGGGCTCCACGGATCGGTCCACAGCTGCGTCCCGAGGATGTGCCAAGGAGCCCACGAGGGAGCTCCCATGACCACAGATACAGATTTGGCAACGCCGCCAAAAGAGAGGACCGGGAATCGAACCCCGAGAGCGGACCAAGGTTGCGCATCCGGTATCACGGTGCTTAACCATTGGTCCGCATGAATTTGATAGTTCCCCCTTCCTTCCGAGATCAGATCGACCCGAAATGATCGTTTCCTTTACTTTCAAACAAAAAAAATGTCGAAGATTTTTTTTAGATTTTTTTTTTTTTTCCAAAACTCATTTTTCTCGAGTTTTTGGACGGTCAGGACCCATGCTGGTGGGTCCTGGTTGTAGGTGGAATTGAGGTCGGCCGTCGTGGAATCGACGTGGGCTCGTTAGCCCACGTCGAACCCTCGTTGGAAAAAACTTGTGTCGTGGAACCTCGTGGAACCGACGACAGAAATCGAGCTTACCGGAGCTTACCGAACTTTTGCAGAGCCGATCTCGTGGATTTCACGTGGTCGGCGTCTCCCGTGGGATCCACATTCCCGCTCGGCAAGAAGCGCCATGGGTCCTGACCGTCCAAAAACTCGAGAAAAATGAGTTTTGGAAAAAAAAAAAAAATCTAAAAAAAATCTTTGACATTTTTTTTGTTTGAAAGTAAAGGAAACAATCATTTCGGGTCGATCTGATCTCGGAAGGAAGGGGGAACTATCAAATTCATGCGGACCAATGGTTAAGCACCGTGATACCGGATGCGCAACCTTGGTCCGCTCTCGGGGTTCGATTCCCGGTCCTCTCTTTTGGCGGCGTTGCCAAATCTGTATCTGTGGTCATGGGAGCTCCCTCGTGGGCTCCTTGGCACATCCTCGGGACGCAGCTGTGGACCGATCCGTGGAGCCCACGGAATCCTGTGGACTGGCGGGTCCTGGTCCGACCTCCCGCAGTGGCCGCTCGTGGGCTCCCCGTGGAAAACCGGTGTCGGTCCACGTGGGTGTGCACCCTAGGTGTAGTATGATTGAAAAGCCGTGCAACAAGTCTGGAGGGCTCATTCATATAATAACTTCACCATCAGGTGTGCCCATTGGCGACCATGCTTGTGAGGAGCCACGGGACCTGGGCCTCAAGGCCTCACCATGATGGCGCCACCGGGATGTGTGGCAGAACAGCGGCTCGGAGGCGTTCCCGACCTGCAGGGCAGCGACGGCCGGGCGCGACCGGGTGTGCATGTATAACATTAACACGGAAGAACAACCGAAAAAAAATCGATGGAGACAATTCAGCTTCAGGGAAGAAATCAGGACAGATCAGGACTTACAGGCTCGCAACACCGGCGATACCTTCATGTGGAAGCACAGCACAGCAATCTATGTAGGCGAGGCACTCCAATTTATATGTAACCCCTCGTGGTAGCGCCAGGTGCTCGCTCTTGTTGGCGGTGTGCATGGGTCAGGAGTGTCTGTCAGGGAAGTATGTAGACTAGAAAGGACTAGAAAGGGCCAAGGGAAACAGGAGGAAGATAAGGAAAGATACAGGGCCAATACATCATACGCCAGACTGAGGGCAACTCGGGCATACATTCACCATCCATTCTATTTGCGGGAATACAAAAGCCAGCTGCAGTTTCGAAGGCCAATCTCTCGTTCACCAGCCTTTTTTTACCCTTCATTCTTCCGTCCACACCCCACGGCCGCCCTCCTACTACTCTTCCACACTTCAACCCCCAGCTGGAGCGATCCTCTTTGGACACCATGCACGTCTTCCAATCGACCCTTCCGATCATTTTCTTGGCCGGTGTTTGCAAGTTTGCATCCGCAAGGTGTGGCACCGGTGAGGTGGATGCTTGCGCGACTTACCAGCAAAGAATTTGTGAGCTTCTTTTTTTTTCCTCCAACCCATCACTGCAGCTGACCGGTCAGACTAAAGATGAGAATAAATACATTGTCTGGTTTGTAATCGGCCTTACAAGACCAAGCGCCGCCAGGTAATTTCGATTGCCATATTACTTCGAGTGAGACCCACTACTGTTGTCCTGCAAACCAGATGGTGGTAAGTGAGACAGACTGCTATCAGAAAGCACTTGCTTGATTCCGCAAGCTCATGGATTGCCCTCGAAATGTCTTTGTAACTTCAGCCGAGCACACCTGATTATCCGCTTGGTTACGCGGTCAAAACCTTGAAATGCTATAAGAACACGTATTAGCTTCTAAACAGCACTTTTAAGCTAGCAAGTTTTGCGTCCTCGACTGTTAATGTGATGAATACTTTTAATTTCCCCCGACTCTGGATCACATCCAATCTGCTCCTTTAAAACACCTGCAGAGCCTGGCTTGAATACGACGGCATGGACGGTTTGCTTCTAACTGGTGTCAGCCCGCTTAGGCACATCTTCGTTGCTTTTCATTATTATTATTATTACTTTTTTTTTTCGATTCGACTCTCTTTCTTCATGCCTTCACACAAATGTTAGTTCTCAAACAGTTGCTTGATGTTGCACGCATTCATACTGTGCAATTTCGATCAGCTAGTGATCGGTAATTTTCTCAACTTTGGGTCAGATTGAGTGGCTCTTTTGCAACATCTGGTCGTCAGTTTGTACGCCATCAGATTGAAGAATTGAATTGATGAGAGATTGGATTGGAATATATGTGTATGGGTCCTGATAATGGATTGATGTTTGCCATTTGTGGTAGTTTGAACTCCCTCCATTCCCATTGATCAGTAGCCGATCCATCCCCATGAAGAAACAATGGATCCAATAATTGTTCTGGATGATGATGATCACTATTACTGTTATCCATTCCGTTGTGGTTTTTGTTGTTCAGGATGGTGGATTAGAGATTTAAGCAAATAAACCTTACTCTTATTATCTTCATCCTCTTTATCCCGATAATTCCTGAGCAGTTCCCATGGGCCTGTTGGGTCGGACCTTGAGATGATAGGTGCTCTTGTTGGCGGTGCATGGGTCAGGAGGGCCTATCAGTATCAGGGGAAGGAAGTAGACTAGAAAGGACTAGCAAGGGCCGAGGGAAGCAGGAGGGAGATGAGGAAAGATACAGGGTCAATACATCATACGCCAGGCTGAGGGCAAAGTACCCGATCGATTCTGTTTGATGGAATACAAAAACCAGCCAGCTGTACTGTAGTTTGGAATACATACCATCTCTCGTCCACCTGACCAGCCATTTCTTACCCTTCCTTCTTGCATTCACTGATCTCAATCATCCGCCCCACGGCCAACCTACTACTCTTCCACCCTTCAACCCCCAGCTGGAGCGATCTTCTTTGGACACCATGAACGTCTTCCGATCGACCCTTCTGATCGTTTTCTTGGCCGGTGTTTGCACGTTCGCATCCGCAAGGTGTGGCGCCGGAGACGTGGATGCTTGCGCGACTTACGATCATAGAATGTGTGAGCATTTGTTCTCTCTAACCCTGCATGACTGCAGTTGCGCCAGACTAAAAAGATTACAAGAGATACATAGCATGTCTGACGTATGATGATTGGCTTTGCAAGACAAAGCGTCGCCAAGTAATCCAGATTGCCATGTTACTTCGAGTGAGGTCCACTTCTGTTGTCCTGCGGACCAGATGGTGGTAAGTGAGACAGACTCCAATCAGGAAAACACTGGCTCGATTGCCCAAGCTCATCGATTGCCCCCAATCTCTTCTCAACTTTAGCCAGGCACACCTGATTATCCGACTGTTTACGCGATCAGGATAATGGGATGCTATCTGAACAAGTATTAGCTTCAATCAATCTTTCAACCCGGTCGAGGCTGGAGCCAACAAAACAGCACGTTGCAATCAATACTTGCTGCGTTCATCATTTCCCAACTTGCAAATCTTAGAATTACCCACTCTGGATCACATACATACAATCTGCTCCTTTAAACCACCTGTATAAAGGGCCTGGCTAGAATACATTACGACGGCTTGAACGGTTTGCTTCTAACGGGTGTTATCCACTTTCTTCCCTTCGGAACATCTTCGTTACTTTTCCTATCTATTGCATTTTTTGTTTTTCGATTCAACTTTCTTTCTTCATGCCTTCTCACAAAGTGAACTCTCAAACAATTAGTTGATGTTACACGGATTCATACTAAGCGATTTCAATCAGCTGGTGATCAGTAATCTTCACAACTTTGGGTCAGATTGAGTGGCTCTTTTGCAAAATCTTGTCTCGTCGGTTTGTATGTGCGCGCGTTGCTGGCTGCTTTGCACGCGCCATCAGATTGAAGAGTCAAAATGATCAGAGATTGTATTGTATATGGGGGGTACCTGGGTCCTCATGTAAACAAGCCCAATGGATTGATTTTTGCCATTTGTGGTAGTTTGAACTCCTCAGAAGCCAGCCAACACAACCAAGGTTACTTTTTTATTTTTTAGAAGATGGAGTGATCGGTTAAATTAGAGAGCAAGATCCATTCCCATTGATCAGTAGCCGATCCATCCCCATGAAGAAACAATGGATCCAATAATTGTTCTGGATGATGATGATCACCATTACTATCATGGTTGTTGTTCAGGATAGTGGATTGGAGATCCAAGTCTATCGTTGAGGGATGCCGGGTGGCTCGGATCAGATAAACCTTACTCCCATCATCTTCATCCTCTTTATCCCGATGATTCCTGAGTAGTTCCCATGGGCCTGTTGGGTCGGACCTTGAGATGATAGGTTCGAGTTTGAAGTACCTCCCTGAAGAAGAAAGAGCATTGATAAGAGGGTCTTATGAATTACATTATTATGTGTCAAAATAATAATAAAAAAACTCACCGAGTAGAGAGAAGAACGGGAATTCTTTGACGGCCGAGCGCTCCTTATAGCCAAACAAGATGACCGGAGTAGATGAATAATTCGAGGGGAGATAATGTGGGGAGGTGAGGATGAGGAGTGTTCGAATGAGGGGGGCGAAAAGGAAAGGGAAGAAGACCAGGTCTGAGCAAGTGATCAGCAGATCGGTTGGCTGATTGGATGTTGTACTCTTGAGCAAGTCGATCGTCTGGTCAGTGTCGCCCCAGCTCAAAGTTCTTGCCGAGATCTCAAGCTTTTCTGTGGCCGTTTGGATGTTCCTCTCGAGTAACGGCAAGACGGCTGGTAAGTCGGTGACTGTGATCTTGATGGACTCGGCCTGCTCGGGATCGAGTCGGGTGGCCAATCCGATGGGAAGATAACAAGTGCCTGATCCGAGATCGATGATATGGATTTTGTTTTCAGAGTGGGACCGAGTGCTTGGGAGTAGTGGGCATGCAGGCTGGTATTCTCGGAGGTTGTTTGGGACGAGGAGATAGTCCAGCAAGTCGAAAGAGGCATCCCAGGTCTTGGCTGCAATCCCAAACAGCTCCAGGTCTTGGCTGAAGTGTTCCTGTTCTGAGCATAGGTCTTCTCGGTCTTTCCGTTGCTGATAGGAAATCTCTAGTTTCCTTGGGAAGTTGGCTCGTCGATGGATGTCCTCCTGGTCCATCTGGTGGTGGCTGGAAGTATCTGGGATGGGTGGATGTATGCGCCCTCGACGAACTTTGACCAGGAACCAACAACAACAACAACAACATGGAAACCAAGCCAGAACCAGGACCATCAGCAGCAAAAGACGAAGAAGAACAAGAGAGGAAGAACCATGAACAGAGTCTCATCAACCAAGAGTTCGAGAAAACAAGATCCACCATCCTCGTCAACTCCCAACCACTCCCAACCGACCAGTTCAAAGTCAAAGTAGAAGGACCTAGGTTTGACCAGGACCGATCGACGATCGATTTAGGAAACTTACTGAATGCGTATGAGGCCATCGGATTCCAAGCTACTAGCTTATCTCAATCGATCGAGATCATTAACAAGATGGTATTTAACTTACAAAAAAACCCTCATTCTTGTAGACTACTTTTACTGATGTTGAGTTTTTTTTTTTTTTTTTTTTTTTTTTTTTTTTTTTTTTTCATCTGCAGCGTTCTTGGAGGCTATCAGATGATGATCCGACGGTCGAAAGAGGCTCCAAGGAGGACGAATCGGCGCGGATCTTCTTGGGCTTTACCTCCAACCTGGTCTCCTCAGGCTTACGAGAGATCATCAGTTTCCTCGCCAAACACAACTACGTATCGGTGATCGTGACCACCGCTGGAGGGATTGAAGAAGACTTGATCAAATGTCTCAGTCCGACTTATCTGACACCAGATAAGACATTCGGCTCGGTAGAAGGGAAGAAATTGAGATCGCTTGGATTGAATCGGATCGGCAATCTGATCGTGCCTAATCAGAACTATTGTCAATTCGAGGACTGGATCTTGCCCATCTTCGATCAAATGAAACTCGAACAGGATCAGTCTAATGCTAAATGGTCCCCTTCCAAGGTCGTCGAACGATTAGGCCACGAGATCAATCATCCCGACTCTTTCCTCTATTGGGCTGCCAAGAACAAGATCCCGGTCTTTTGTCCTGCCCTGACCGATGGTTGTCAGTCCCCAACTCCCTTCACCAACCGTTTGTTTCTTACTTTGAGAGTATTCCTATTCAATCTTTCTTCTTCTTCTAAGGAAAGCTTTAGGAGATATGTTATGTTTTCACTCTATCAAGACCGACCCTAACCCTTTAGTGATCGACATCGTCGCGGATATTCGAAGGATCAACGAGCTCGGTCGGTCGGCCAAGAAGGCCGGCATGGTCATCCTGGGTGGAGGGGTCTGTAAACATCAGATTGCGAATGCGATGTTATATGTCAGTCTTTCGGCTCAACCATAGAGATCGATTCGCATCTTCATCCATTGAGCACCGTTCTTTTTGTTTGTTATGATATACCATCCTGTAGAGAAACGGGGCGGAATACTCTGTATATGTCAATACGGGCCAAGAGTTTGATGGGTCAGACAGTGGAGCCAGACCGGACGAAGCGATCAGCTGGGGGAAAATCAAAGGCGATTCGGAATCGGTCAAAGTAACCAACCGATTTCCACTGTCTCCCCTTTTGTTTGTTTCGAATGATTGGAACTGAACTGAACTGACATCCATTATGATTGCCTTTTCTTTGGGTCAATGTTCAAGGTATTTGCGGATGCTACTCTGGTCTTTCCTCTCATCGTCGCCGCTACTTGGGCAAAAGATCATTGGAAATCTAAGCCTGAAACTGAGACGACTGAGCCGGTCGAATCCAAAAAATAACGTCGAAATATACGATCTGAAATCATTCTTTCGTTTTCTAGCTTTTACCTCTCCATTGTGGAAATGTTACTTCGTCTTAATCATCAATAGAATAATGATGGAAATAGTTCCTTTGTTTCTCACCTCCTGGTTCATTGAGGAGTAGGTCATGCATAAATACCCTTCTTCCCCCTTTTTTTTCAAAAAAAATCTATTTTGATTTTTGAAGGATCTTTTGACTATGATTCATTTCTTCTTGTCTCTAATGCCTGATATTAACCTTGAGACATTGGTCAATCAAGCAGAATCTATTTCGAGGTTATTGCTTGCTGTCAAACCCAGCGACGCGAGCAACAGAATAACAGGATAAGCGTGAGGTGCAGAAGAAGAACGCTTGATCCGGTCATTAACAGGAGATGAATCTCAAGCATTCATTCTCGACGCAATGGATGTGATTTGGTTCATGTGTTACATTTAACTTGCCAGCTCAAGTGCTCCAGCTAATGACCCAACACAGACGAGGTTTAAGAACGCTCATGTCTGCTCAACTAAGAAAAGCACAAGCAGTAGTATGGCTTTATCCAACTTGTCTCATAGAATCATACATGTCATCATTGGATAAAGAACGGAATCAAGTGACAAGAACAATTATGCACAACGCCCCCGATATGCAACGATGAATGATAAAAAAGACAAAAAAAAATATAATATGTACGATCACGCGGAGGCTCTTTGTTGGATCTCTTTCTCTCTTTATCTTAAGGCGTCAAACGGGCACAAGAAAACTATCTCCCATGTGGTATATAACACGATCCCCCGTGTTATATGTAATACGAAGCGAGATAAGTTGCTTCTTCGGGTTTCTCTCTTTGTCTTAAGGCGTCAAACGGATACAGCAGAACTATGTCCAAGATTTGAGACGCTTTATCATCTTAGGACTGATCTCAAAAAAAAAAACTCTGAGCTGTGCTAGTGGTGGGAGCTCTCAAGTGTACAATTTGTGCGCAATCAGAAATGTCTCATCAACATAAGATCGTGATATACCATAGGGATTTGTTGTATTATTAACTCAAAATCCATATAAGTTAGAAATATAACAACCCACTGATAGATAAGAAGATGTATAAAAAGGAAAATGATATGGGTTCTTTATCTTGAAAAGATCAACCGAATGGTTGGAGCGTCCGAAAATCCGAGCAAAGCGTTTCGAAGAAACGAATGGACCGAGCAATGGTATCTTCATTCGGCTGGAGTGTCGGCAGAACTGGTGGTGATCAAAGGGTCAGCTTCGACGGATAGATTTGCACAGACTCTAGAATGTCTTTGAACTTACAAGCCCCAGTTCTTGATGGGCACCTCAGTGTCTCCATCTTTCCCGCCGAGTGCCTTCAATGTCTGAGGGAGAGGAACAAGCAAGTACGGTGATTTGGAAGGTTAGTGACAACGGAATCATCCGCTTTGTGCGGTCGTGTTCGACTCTGCGAAGCCATGGCTACTCACAGCCTTGGTCACCCAGATCGTCGCACATCCCACTTCGGGCTTAATGTTGTAATCCTCAAACGGGCAGCCATCGAGAACAGGGACGTATTTCGGGAGGGGACCGGCACCATTTATCCAGCTGGAGGGGAGGATTGAATTCTAAGTAAGTCTTACTATGTGCTTGACCAGCATACGAGCATACAAATCATCCCGAAGAATTACTTACAGGGTTTTAAAGCAGTTGTTTGTGTTTGCACTGTAGGACCACAGAAATACATATCAGTATGATTTCCAATGGTGAACGTTTGCAATTCAGACGGTGCTTACCCGTTGAGCCAACCTCGGTAAAGGCCTTGTCTTGGGCTACTGTCTTGGTTTGCTCCATTCCAGAGACACGAACCTTGCTGGTTGTCACTATAAGCCTTACCGCCACAGGCCTGGGGAAGAGAAAAAAAAAAAACCGGGATAAGTTTACTGCCCGGGTGGATGTATGAAAACATATCAACAAGTCGAGTATCTATGCGCTTACTGATGTTGAACCACCTGAAACAGTTTTTCCCTGAAGGACATTGAACAACAACGCGAGTGCATCAGTTTCCAGTGGATCTTGTTTACAATCATTAATGGTTCCATGAAATACCTTGTGTCCAGGGGGGTCGTTGCGGCGTTGCAAAAATGCTCTTTCATTCTTGGCGGACATCTGTATTGTTTAGATGTCATTATTAGACGAACGTCAGCCTTCAAAGGATTATCCGAGTATGGAAAGGCTTGAGCTCAGAATGTGGTGAAACTACCACCCACCAATTTGGCGACGACTACCTTGTCGGAGTCGCTTGATGAGCTCAACTTCTGCATAGCCCATTGACCGCATTGCGATTTCATGGATTCCACCAGGTGGACCGATAGCAAAGCTAAGGTCAAGGCGGTGATAAGCTGCTTTGCGGAGAACATGATTGATTGATATTGGGGTGCGGGAATGCTGTTTGAGATGGTATAGCTGGTGGGGGTGAGATGGGGTGGCAACACCGTTCTCACTTTATACCCTGAATGGCATCTATTGTGGCTCTCATTCGATCTCACTCAACTCCACGATTTCCGGCGTGATCCACTGAGAAGAACAGGCGTAAGCCCCATTTTCACCGCCAGCCATCTTGTTTACACACATGGCGATGGCGTCTGATGGCGTAGCAAAGAACGCTAAAGAACGGTACACACGGTGACAAATGCCTGAGGCTGAACGCGGGCGCGTTCCCCACTCCGCCCAGGCCGAATTCAGCTCGACCAGCGCGTGACACGTTCATCCAGTCACAGCTGAAAGGCTCTGTATGGACAGCCCGGCGATAACGGTGCCGAGTCCCGAGTTGGGTACATAGGCGGCACGGAGGTATCGGTCAAATCTCCATCGAAAAATCGGCACGCCCTATTGAAAGTAGTACAGCAGCCATCAAGCCATGTATGATCAGCACTGCTTAGCACAGAAATCAAAGTTGTAAATAAAGTCGTCGGAGATGTTTGTTCGACCGGGAAGCGCCCATCGGATTCCGGAAGTTCGGAACCTGCCGAAGCTCCGTTTCCAAATGCAATTGTAACAGGTCCCTTAACTACATGGTAGATGGCAAGGGAAGACCATCCAAATTTCGGCAATACATGATCCGGGAAACATGGATGAACAAAGCATCCTCACATACATGCGTGAATAAGCACCCTCACGTACATGTGTGAATCCCAAGCAGACGCAAGTTGGTTAGAGGAACAACTCCATTCATGGGTTGCGTGCAGCCCTTTTGGACCGCTTTTAAGAAGAGTAGTGCTGGGCAAGTACCTGCACCAAGTACTTACCTAGACAATGTACTGTATCTCCCTTCACGGGCAAATGGACACCAGATGTTGATATGTACCAGATTGTTTTGAAAATGTTATTCCGGGCAAGGTTTGTACTATATATATATACAAAACTAGAAAAAACTTAACAAGTATGGAGGATGATGAGAAGATGAATATATATATATATCTACAACAAATGAAAATGTAAAAAGAGATGAGTGGAAAATGAAATGCTAGGTGAACAATAAGGACGATAGACTTAAACAAGAATTGCTGCCCATGATCAATGCCTCGAAGTGAGCATCTTCCTTTCCATTTGGAGTGGGGATGGTGGTGTGATGACTGGAAAGAAAAATGGATAATGATTGAAACGAAAGGGTCAAAGATGTAAAAAGCCATGTTGTGGGTGATGGTTTTTTAATCGGTTTTGTGCTTAGAATCATGTTGCTCATTCCAGCTTAAGTATCTCAGCCAGCTGGAATCCGGTGGGTTAATTGGAGGGGGTGTACATATAGATAATGTCAGTTTGGGAAATTGATCAAGACGATTGGATCCAGAGGATTTGAAAGAGAGAAGATCACGACCACTTACCGGTTCTTTTCAATGATCCCAAGATATAGCCCATTGTGATTCTGGACGACGAGATAACGGACCTAAATGCAATCACATTTCCAAGAGGTTTCAGTCTGACTTGGACATACTTTTCAGAGGGTAGCAGGAAAGGAGCGGGAGGGAAAGAGAAGGTACTTACGCCTAAGCGTACAAAAATCTCGTGGATGAGTTCCATTGGAGTCTGGACCGACACCGTGACTGGGGCATGATCGACGAGGTAGCCGAAATCGACGGGGAGCTCGTAGTTGGGTGACAGGCCGCCGTTGGGAGCGACATCAGGGTCTGCCCCGTCGAAGGTGCAAATCGGGTCGCCTTGGATCGTCGACAGACAATGCTCAAGTTCCACCAGACCTACATAACCCGAGATCCGCGTGTCCCCGTTCTCTGATGTCTCGAGCAGTGGAAAGCCACTCCCAAGCTGCGGTGCTTCCAACATATTCTTGATGCTTTGCCTCAGATCTGAAGCTCTTAACTCTCCATTCAATATGATCACTTCCGCATTACGATCCATGATGTCTTCAGGTTTCGCGTAATGTAAGTATTCCGACTTCGCATCAAGATAAGGAAGCTCAGATAGATTCATGCAAAGGTCACTGCGGTGAACAGTCAAAATTTAGCGATCAGGGGCACTGATGAAAAATGAGGAAATGGTGGTGCTCAGCGTACTATATAGATCTATGTTCAATGGTGTCTGCCAGAGTCTTCGCCACAAGTACACTCATCGATATAGGAAGTATATAGACCAAGGATCCGGTAAGTTCTACCACTAGAAGAAAAAAAATTAAACACTTCAGTATGGACTGACATCGAGATGAGTATGATTAGAGTGGCCCACGTACTTATGACGGCCAAGGATAAGGTAGTTCGGGTCACACCAGCCAACATTGCAGCCGCGCCAACCATAGCCCAAACCCCGGGTATGATGCAAGCTGACCGAAGGGGCGGCTAGGATCACAGATTTGGAAGACTGAGAGTTCAGGATGTGAATGATAAGCATACTCGACCAAGTAACCCAGTATCCTACCCATCATTGCACCAATACAGAGCGAGGGTACAAACAGTCCGGCAGGACATTTGATCCCGAAGGTGACAACCGTGATCAAAAACTTGAGGACAACAGCTATGCCAATGTTGAGGATTAGCTGTGCGGTATCTTTGGGATCGCTAATGCACGCCCCGGAAATTGAACTGCCTGTTGGGTCTGATGGGTCGATTATTGGACACTCCGCTAGCATCTCATACACAAGTTCGGTCCCGGCTAATTTCATGAAACGGTTCGAGAAACTAACGGAGCCCAGAGCTTGGAATAAGCTGATGGGATTTAAAACAAGTGATATTTGAGAGACAGGCAACAACGTACGCCAGTAGACAGGTGACAAATGCCACGAGTAAAACTTCTAAGACCGGATGTCGGTCGATGCAAGGAAGTTTCCTGAATGTCTTCGTCCACCACACATTGAGCTTTGAAAGCCAAGCCCCCAAAACTCCAGAGACCAAGCCCAACAAGATGAATCCACTGAGTTCTATAAAATGCCACTGCTGATCGTATGTCACTTCGAAGAGGACCGTTTTACCAGTCTTGAAAGGGTCTAGTACCTAAAAACAAGTTAATAAGCGTGGGTCAACATTAGGCCCGAAAACTTCGATGTCTCCGAGAAGATTAATTCAAATCAATATACCCGAAGAGTAGCTGCCCCAACAATAGCGCACCAACAACTTCTCCACATGACCCTAGGGGGGAAAAAGTAAGAAACCTCTTCCAAGCTAAACAAGACCCCACCAATTGGAGCCCCAAACGCAACCGCAACACCTGCAGCACAGGCAGCACTGAGCATTTCCCTCCTCTTCCCTTCATTGCGATCGAATTTTGGGAACAATCTCGTGAAGATGTTGCCGATGCAACACGCAATGTGCACCAATGGACCCTCTTTACCAAGCGTCAATCCAGATCCAACTGAGAGAGCCAGACCCACCGCTTTTGTTAACATGGTCGATAATCCAAGATAACCTCGAATGACAAATCTGGGATAAGTAAGAGGTAATTGGTCAGCTTTTTCTGAGTTGGATGATCAATCAAACATAGTATCAGGTCAGCTACTTACCCACTTAGAATACATTTCACTTCAGGAATTCCGGAACCAGCTGCAAAATAAGAAATCTTTGGCGGGACTTTGGTAGATGAGGGTTGATTACGCGAAGACTTCCGATTGGTGGGAAGTGTATCGAAGTAAGATGAGCAAGAAGCATCGGGGACAGGGCTTGGGTCGTCCAGATTGTTGTGAATTGTTGAGGATGAATCATTGTGATCAGACTGAGCGTAAGTGGAGGTGTGGATCTGAGTTGATCTGGAAAGATACACGGTCAAGAGGGATGAAAGTCCGGCAAAAGATAGAGAGAAAAAGATGTAAACGAGATATTCGATCCATATTGATTGAGGTTGGTGGGGCGACAACAGATCGGTCCAAGGATGCCAATCTGGACAAGATTCGCTGGGAGAGTCTAGTGACGAAGGGTGTTTGAATGACCATTGAGAAATAAAAGATTTAGATGAAAAAGCCGGTGAGCGATAATCACGGCGGGTCGCGTTGAAATCAAACGGGTGAGCCACCGTCGAGTGAGGGGACTGGGGTGAAGGTGGGTTGAGGAACGGGAAGAGGTTGGACCGATCAAAAACAGAAGAGATGAATTGGCCAATGGAGCCGAGAGTGCTTGACCTGGTGTACGAAGCAGGAGAGTCGCAACAAAATCTCTTCGGTGTTCGCCATCCATTAGCGCAGTAACCTGTAGATTACAGAAAGTTCAGGTCAACAAAAGGCCAAATCATCTTCCAATCTTTTCGAGTTTAGAGGGGATTTCGTCGCTGCTGTCCAGCTTTGCATTCAACGCCTCAAAAGCAACCATTTTTATGGAAAAATGTTTCAGTTTGGGTAGAGTTATTTTATGAATATGCCAAAATCGTGAGAGAGACAGCCAAACACGGTAATGTATTTGATTTATGGCCATGAACTCCGCCAACATGGGTTTCAGCACTCTCCCAAGCGCGTGTGCGCAATAGTCAGAGATGGATGGGAGAAGGTGATTTGTTGGCAGATTGAGACAGACCTTCTTTGAGTTCGAATAGCCACATCTCCGTAGATACGATCTGGTCGGCGACGAAAGCGGTACATATTCCAACGAGGGTGACCAAGACCCAGGCCTGACTCTTGTCCCAAGTCCTGGAGAAGGTACCTAACCAGCCGGGGAGCTGAGCAAGTTTTTTACGCCGGATTGATTCCTTGATCAATTCGTGAAGCCAGTCGATTGTACAGTAGGATTCGTACCAGACCCGGATCCCATTGCCGGACTGTCGGACGAGTTCCTCCTGGAATTCGTCGTCGTAGTTCTTCTTCCAGCGGCGAGCCTTGGAGCGACGTTCGGTCTCGGTGACGAGCGAGTTGCCCGATAGGTAGGATGGCCTTCGGGAGTGGCCCGCATGAGGGGTCGATGGAACCGAGGGCGAGTGAGTGGACATCCAGTCAGTCATCTTGAGCGAGCCCATCAAGCGGCCCTGGGAGAGACGATGGTTGGCGGGGGAGGCATTGAGATGTCGGTTTAAGTCATCTGCCGAGCCCGGCTCGAGCTCCTGATCGGCGGCAGTGTAGTACGAACATGGTAATAAGGATCCATTCTTGGAGATTGAACGCGAGTCACCTGATGATGATTGGATTAGGCTCGAGTGTTCGTCAGGCTGTCGGTTCTTGAGTTTATCCGATCCTAGGGAGGAAGGGATCTCGAGAAAGGAGACATTGGATGAGTTGTAACGATGATTGCGTGGACGAGCTGATGGGCGGGGTGAGTCGGAGAATGAACCGTATTGATTGGACTGATAGTCATTTTCCTGTGGGGACGACATTCCTTTGGAGCGAGTATAAAAGGTCAAGACGGTTGGAGAAAAGGCTGGATGTGAGGTAATAGGAGGGATGACCAGAACGAGTTATGATACTTGATTGTATTTAAATTGTGGGGTGCGCGAAGTGTGCCTGCGGGCAGATGATCACGGCAGATAATTGGATAAATTAAGAGTCCGACGACGCTAGCGGACCTATGTAGAGGATATGAAATAATTGCAAGTGCTCGATATCAGTTGTAAATAAGTGTGGGTCAACTAGTTTCCGGTGGATCCAAAAGGGAGGGAAATAAATACACACAAATCTTCAACAAGTTGTCCAAGAACTCTACCTGGTGTGACCAGCTGACCTAAACAGTAATATGAATCGAACAGGATAACCTTTACAAGCGTTAGGCTTATCGGCCCACCGGTCAGGGGTGGTCGTGATTGCAGTCTTCGGTGTCCAACCAAGTCGATGAGGTCCCCAAAGTTTTCGAGGTTGCGACGGACGAGATGATGATGGAGTCGACTGTCGAGGGGGAGCTGATGGAATGTATGTCACCCAGCGACGCACAACTTCATGATGAAGGCGACAGGCCAACTTGTGGTGGTACAACCACCACCCAACTAACCTTAAGATCACAAATGGTACATAAAAGGGTATCAGACTCACCCTACATACGAAATGTCTGCATACTGATCATCAATCTGCGGCATCACCCTCATCATCCTCATCAGGGAATCAAATTCCGCATCAGCGACTAGACAGGCGCATCTCACTCTGACCCGCCGCTAGAACCACCTGGTTCTGGCCCCCGTTTGGTGAAACTCCGCATGGCAACATCAGCTATCAACAGGGTGTTTGTCCACAAGCTACAACACTTTCCCAATTGGAATATTTTCTCTTTCTCTCCTTGGTTTGATTTAAGCGGATTCCTGGAGAAACAATTGATGATACTTCACTAGGTTGATAATGAGAAGTATTTTGTACTGGATAGTCCTGAAAACACTCTACCTTACCTTCCCTTGGTAGACTGTGAGCTTCACTGCCTAATTTAATGCTCCTACTTGTAATTGGGCACTATCCTAGCAGAATTACACCCAACAAGTCCTACCTCGTCTTGGGGAGCTTGCAAGCTTCACTCGAAAGGCTCATACTCGTAGAGATTAAGACCTAAGAATCCTGACAGCAGCAGGCTGCTACAGGGCCACTAAGCATTAGCATCCCACTACACCAGGAAAAAACAATGCTCACTTGATGACAAGTGACATAAGGCTAAGTTCATCATGCTACCCATCATCTACCCAGATCAACTCTAGTTCAGCCCCATGTAGCACACAAAAGGGCCATTGTAGTTGGATTGCAATAGCACTGGCGCTACACTGGAGTTGTAATCAATGCTACACAATACCACATGTCATCTGGTGAGCATTTTTTTCCCTTGTGCTACCGCTGCTGCACTTCGCTACTTTGCAGGGGTGCCAACAGTGACAATTTTTTGGTGTAGTGTTAGGGCGCTGCTACCTCTGCTACACTAGAGCACTTTCAGTGGCAAAAAAGGCCCAAAAAGTGCTAAAAAGTGCTCTAGCACCATTTATCAACACATAGAGACTGGGATGAATCTGAGAATATCAGCTGTCAATTTTCACAATTTTTGGGAGGTATTCTCTCTGCTGCTTACAGCCATCCAATCCTTTTATTTTTCTTGGCCTTCTGACCATACCAATGGCCCTCCTGATTCTTTCTGTAAAAATGCAGCATTCATTTCTCATAAAGGGAGGGTAATTTGTAGGAATTTTCAAGTAGAAATTGAAAAATAATGAAATTGAAATTGAAATTGATCAAAATGAAACTAGATTTTTCATCAAGACTGTAAATTTGGAAAGACAAAATCAATCATGTTGGGGAACTATAACAAATAAATAGTGAATCTTTTCCATTCTTGGCATCTGATTCTAAAATCAACTCATTATTCCCTTCCACAAAGAAACTAAAATCATACTACAGTTTTTAATTGAATTTTTGAAATAGAAAATATATTCCTTTCCAGTCTTCTTTTCTGTTAATTTAGTTTCTGTTATTTATTTATGTTTCTCCTAAATTCAAAGGCACATGATATCTAGATTTGTGAGTAATATTCCTTCCTAAATAGTCTTCATCATCAGTATAACAAACAACCTTATGGGGGGGGGGGGTTAGTTGAAACTGTATAGGTAACTGTGTGTTAATAGTTGTGATGCCTTGGCTGTGGTGTTATAGATCCAAATGCTTCCAATGCTTGTGGGTGATATTCATAAGAGTCTGGGTACCCAAGTGTGTCATGCTGGGGTTGTGAGTAATCAGGTGTACCATGACTGGGTTGAGGGTATCTGCCAGGTGAAGGTGGTCTGAAATACCAAATTTGTACATGAGGAGGTGCTTGCTGGGTAGATTCACTTCTGTAGACAGACCCTCCAGAATTAGAATTTTGAGGTAAATACCAGGGGGGGAAACCACCCAAGAACTCTGCCTTGCATATCAGACAGTTTTTTTCTCCTTCCTTGACCAGCTTCTCTGCACATCCTGAGTGATATATGTGCCTGCAATCCCAAGTGGATGCTGATTCACTTTGCTTCACAGATGTTCCACACTTTTCACATTTCAAACCACGTTTGGAGTGACAATGTAAAGTATTTGATTCAGGAAGTGGCCCCATATTACTTGAAGAAATCACTGAATTTGAAGCAGATATTGCATTTGCATCCATGGGATGGTTTGTTTTATCTAATTTCCCCACAAGATCAACAGCTGTTCTAGCAGTCAATTGAGCCACTGATTGGAAAATCTGTGAAAAATAAACAGAGATATGTATTAGATTGGTGGTATTCACTCGGATGAAGGGATGACCTCCCATCATTAAATCTGGATTCTGAAGCACTTGAAGATGTAAGTTTAGACCCACAAGGTCCAAATTCTTACACAGAATTATAGCTCTCAATACTATGAAATGAATCTTCAGGTTTCTCAGATCATGATGGGAAGTCATCCACTGATACAATAAGAAAAAAGAAAGGAAAATGATTCACAAGGAAACCTATCAGATTAATGAACATGTTGATCAGAATGTCTACCACAAAGATTTACAGATAAATTCTTGAAGGATTGGGGATATTTTGACCAACAACCACCATCTTTGAGGACTAATTATAGTCAACAAGGCTGATCTAAAGTACAGCCATCATCAAAAGGTAGTCAAAACCTGTTTGAGAAAAACTCTACTTGTCCAAATCTGATTTCAACTAGTTGTCAATGATGTCAATTTGTTGTCAACATTGCACAGCTGTGAACAGATGCTTGTTTGTTCATTTGTAATTGCTTATAACTAAAGTTTCAGAAAGGTTTGGCAGACTAGGCACCAGTATTCTTGAATTGGATTTTCCCCACTCAGCCAAATGTTATACAATGTTCAAGTTACTGTACAGTCATATTGCAAGCAGGGTTGCAGAAATCTACCTAATTTTGATAGTACATCCAGACCAAAAGACCAATACAAATGTTTCACTTGTCTGAATCTACTTTCACATAGGCGTCAATGTTGGTTCTGTGTCAAAATTACATAGTTTCGTAGAGGATTGTATGTAATCACCAGAAGAC